TATTATTTTTATTAGCCTAGCTAGTATCCTAATTATATTTATTCTAAAGAAAAAAGGCGGCCTATATTTATATATTAATTACTAGAGTCTAAATAGAATTATTATTAAAAACCGAATATTATTATTATTTATTAGTAAGACTATAAATAGGCTTTATAAAGCTAGATTTAAAGAATACTTATTATTAGTTATAAATATAAAAAAGTAATAAGTAAAAAATAATATTCTAAATATACTATAAATATTTTAAGTATTATATTATACTTTTTAAACTATCTAATACTCCGGTAATATTCCAGGTATATATTAATTATATATTAGTAGGCCTTATAAATATTATTTATATAGTTTATCTAGATAATATTCTAATTTATTTAGAGAACCCAGAATAATATATAGTAATAGTTTAATATATACTTAAATAGCTATAATAATATTAGCTCTTTATAAACTTAGTAAAATACGAGTTTAATATAGAGAAGATAAAGTTCCTAGAGTTTATAATTAGCCCAGATAATATAAAAATAGAAGCTAGTAGGATTATTACTATTAGGAAATAGCTAGTCCTAAAGAATAATATCCGAGAAATCTAAGTATTTCTGGGTTTTACTAACTTTTACCGGAAGTTTATTTATAAATACTTTAGAGTAATAAAAGAATTAACTAATTTATTAAGAACTAGTAAAAACCCATAATATTATTTTAGCTAGATAAATAAGGCAAATAAGACTTTTAGAAAACTATAAATTATATTTAAAATAGTACTAATTCTTTATTATTTTAATCTAGCCTTAAAGATTTATATAAAAATAAATACTTTAGGATTTATAATTATAGGTATAATTTCCTAGTTCTTTAGTAAAAAAAAAAAGCCAGATAATATCTTATTACCTTTTATTTAAAAAAAAACAACTATAATTAAGAATAGATATAAAATATATAATTCTAAGCTCTTAATTATTATTCTAGTATTTTATACTTAATAATATTACCTGGTATATATCTAATATATTATTATTATTAAGATAAATTATAATAACTTAAAATATTTTATAACTAAGAGAAAACTAAATAGTTAATAAATAAGATAAGTAAAAAAGCTAGCTATTTTCGACTTTATCTTAGAATACTAGCCGGAGTATAATAATTCTACTAATAGGCTATTAAGAAGGCCAGACTTTATAGCAGGTATAAATAAAGACATTTTATTACCTATATTTTATAATAAGCTATAGAATATAGAATAGAAAGCCCTATAAGTAATAGTAATAAGATACTATACTATTCCTATAATACTATAGTTTAAGGCCTAGAAAAAAGAAAATAAGTATTTCTTAAATAGTAAGATACTAAGGAATTCTAAAAAAGAAGTTCATTTTAGTAATAAAGTAATACTAGAAATATTACTACTTGAGCCTATTACTAGTATAGCTAGTTATAAATAGTATATACTAAGGATTCTAGTTATATAAATAGCTAGGTCTAAAATAGTATATAAGGAAAATAAAGAAATATTACTTAAATTACTATTATAGTACTAAAGGCTTAATCTATTAGTATAATACTAGTAATATAAATAGTTCTTAAAAAAGATCTTTACTAAAGCTATTAAAACTTGGAAACTTAATATATCTAGATTATTAAGATATTAGAATACTATTTATATATTAAATAAGCCGGCTCTTACAAAAAAATTACTATAAGCTAATTATAATAATTTTATAAATAAGTATTTTAGTACTAATAAGATACTAGAGATTTTCTAGAGAAAATACTTCTAGTAAAGTATAAAAAAAAAACATAAAAGACTATATTAAAACTTGCCCTATATATTAATAAACTAAGATAAAGAAATATCTATTATATAATATACTTAGTTTATTTCCTCTTTCCTTTAAGCCATAATAAGAAATTACTATAAACTTTATTATAGGGCTATTTCTTTCTAGATTTTATAGTAAAATATATAATTCTATACTTATTATTATTAATAGATATATAAAAATAGTATAATATATTCCGACTACTAAGGAAATCTCGGCTCCTGAATTAGTAGAGCTATTTATGTATTATATTATTAAAGACTTTAGTATACCTATAGATATAATCTCTAATAAAGAATCTGTTTTTATAAGTAAGTTCTAGTTAAGTCTATACTTTTACTTAAAAGTTTAATAATAGCTAAATATAGTATTTCACTTGTAAACTAATAAATAAATAGAGAATCTAAACCAAACTCTAAAATAGTACTTGAGGTACTATACTAGCTACTAGTAAGATAACTAGGTAATAAAGCTTTCTCTTATAAAATTCATATATAATAATTTTATATATTTAATAATAGGAATTTTTTTATTTTATATATTATATGGATTTTATTCTAGTATTAAACTATATATTAAGGATAATATTCTAGAAAAAAGAATACTAGTAATATAGGAAAAAATATAAAGAATTTAAGTAAAATAGAAAGTACTAGAGAAATAATAATAAGAAATAGTAAATATATAAAAAAAGTATTATAATAAGAAATATATTAATAAGGAATTTAATATATATAATAAAGAATATTTAATAGCTATAACCTAGTATAAAGCTAGTAAATAAATATCTCGGCTTTTTTAAAATTCTGAAAATTATAGGAATATATAAATAGATATATTACTTGAAATTACTATTATTATATTAGATTTATAATATTTTTCACGTTTTTTTCTTGAAACTATAATACTCGCAAGCTAATACTATAGTAAAACTAGAACTAGTTAAGATTAAGAATAAAAAAAAATTCGAGGTAAAATTTATTATAGCCTATAGGAAAGGCAGAAAAAAAAAAGTATTTTATTTATTAGAAAAGCTATTTACTAATAAATAATATATAAGAACTACTAAGTAATCTAGAGAATATAATTTAAGAATTATAAGAATACTTAGAGAAGAGTAATATTATAATACTATTAGCTAAATAAAAATATAAAAGATAAATACTTTTATTAGGAAACTATTAAAAATCATATATTTATTCTTAGAAAAACTATATAAAAATTATTAAGAACTTTAAAAACTCTAATTTCTATATTCTATAAATACTCTATTCTTATAATTATTCTTTATTATTTTTATTATTATTCTTATTAGGATTTTTTTTGAGAAATAAGTAATAAATTAGCCTATAAAGCTATTAGCTATTAGTAAAAAACGAGAAAGAAATAAGCTTACTTAATACTAAAAAATATTAATTATATTATTAAAAATACTTTATATTTATACTAAGCTAATAAGAATTACTTAACCTATTTCTTAGATTATTAGGGGAATTTATTAGCCTTAAATAATAGTTTTAATATAAGAAATATATATTATTTAGTATAAAAAAAGAGTAATAATAGCCTTTTTTCTTTTAAATAAAGAATAGAGAAAATGCTTATATATATTAATAGCTTAAAGAAAATAATTTAATTATATTATATATACTTAAAAAACCTTAAATAGTATTAGAATAAGAAATAAATAAAGGAAATTATAACTTATAGAATTATATTTCTTATTTTTAGAATAGTAATAATTATATATTAAGTAATTATTACTCTTAATATAAGTAAGATTAGGAAACTTAGTAATATTCTTGAAATATTAAAAATAATAAGAATAAATTAAGAATATGAAAATATTAGCTAAATAAGTAGTAATAGGCTAATAAGTATTAAGAGAAGTATTTATCTTAATAAATAAAGAAATAAAAGAAGAAATTAAAAGAGAACTTAAATAAAGCTTAAATAAAGCTTAAATAAAGCTTAAAGAAGCTTAAAGGAGCTTAAAGAAGGCTTAAAAAAGGAAGGTAAGGAACAAGAAGAAGCTGGATATAGTATTATAGTTAAGGAAAGAGAAGATTAGTTAGTGGGAAAAGAGAGGCCTTTTTATAATACCCTCTCCCTAAATAGTAATTATAAACTCGGAACTAATTCTATACCAGAAATACCCAGAAAATTCTAAAGAAAGAATTTATAAATAAATTAGAAGATTGGATTAACTTTTCTAAGCTCTTGGGCCTATAGAGTAATAATTTATTTGCGAATAGAGGCTAAGTTAGGATTTACGAACTAATTAGGAGACCGGAAGAGCTTTATATCTAATAGTATATACTATATCCGTATTACTTTTACGAGAGGGAATTGCCAGAGGTAATTTGCGAGTTAACTAGGCAGGGTTAGTAAACTATATCCTTAATCCTATTACCTGGTATAATAATGGGGTAATTATGGGAAATTTTTAGGGAGAACTAATAGCCGGGAAAGTTTCAGGAGATTATTTATAAAGCTATTTATAGTTTTCTCAGGCCTCTTATAGATAAGGGCCCAGAGGAGGAGTTAATATAATAGGCATACATAATGGCGTATAGATAGGTATTAGATATTATGGATCTAGTTCCCTATTTTGGATAAAGCTTGTAATTAGAATTATACGGATCGTATTAGCTCGCATTTCCTAGTTAAGTAAAGGGCTTCGCATGCTTGGCTAAATACTAGGGAATATATAGGGAGATACTTCTAGCTTTGGAAAAGGGTATTAATTAGTCTTTTATTAGAATTAATTCTTGGAATTAGTTACACTTGCAAGCGTCACTCTATAGCTTACTTACCTTAACTACTTGTGTATTACCCTGCTATTAAGTGCCTCACATAAGGGCAAACTCTTCTCTTAAGGTACTCTTATTATTTAAATTATATAATAGACTTAATAAGAGTACTATTAAGATAATATCTTACTTAAAAAGCTGGGGGTTATTTAAAGACGAATTAGAAGAAGTAAAAGAAGAAAAAAAAGCAGGAAAAGAAAGATTTCGAGGAGGGAAATCTGGTTTTTATAGAAGAAAAGTAGTATTTAAGTAGCCTTATATAAGCTCTAGCTTAAATTATATAGTGCTGCTTAATATATATCCTATTTATTTGTTAATAATTAAATAAATATTAATTTATTATATTTACGTGACTTGCACGTGACTACTCTTCAGTTACTCTACTCTACTCAAGTACCATATTACGCTACTCAAACTCTACTCTACTCTACTCAAAACTACTCTAGAGTAGCTTGAGTAGTTTTTGCCCACACTGGGCTCGGAGAGAGATGGGTGTTCAAGCATTAAGCTGGGAGAAGTTTTTGCAGAGAACAGGTTGGAGGGGTCCGTTGAAGAAGGCGTAGCAGTAGAATGATAGAGAAGCTTGCCGGTAATAGATTGGCTTGGAAAGGTTTCTTTTGTTTCGGTCGTCCTCCTTCCATCCAAGTTGGCGCACATTTTGCTTACTTCCCATAGCTTCCCAAAAAATACCAAACGACAGCGCAAACACCAGCCACGCAAGAAACCACCAGATTCAGACGAAGAATTCACTCACCCAATCAGAATTTCGTAACTGGCGAAACACCGATCTCCTATTATTCATTTCCACACTACTGCTGCTTCTCCTTCGCAGCTTCTCCCATGCGCTGCACGCCTACACCGTGTGCATAGATCAGATCTCCACCAAGATACGCGGCATACGTCTGGATAGCCATAAGAATTGCACTCATCACGACCTGGTAGCCGGCTGGTTGATAATCAGCGACATTCCGCTCTTGCAGCCAATTAAACACCGCGCCTGCGACGACGAGGTCATTGAGACCAGCCTGTACGGTGTCAATGACAACTCTCACAACCCAAAAAAACAGGCAAAACACTCACATGCATAAGAGCAATCTTGACCTTCGGCACCAGAGTCTTCTCCCCTTTCTCGCTCGTCTGATATAATCCATTGCTTTGAATCATCGCATATAATTCCGCGCCTCCCGTGAGTACGGCCGGGATCGAAGTAATGATACCCAGCACATTAGAAGCGTAGCCTAGGATGGAGAGCGTGCCGAGGTTCTCTTGGTCGCGGGAGAAGAATGGATTGCTGGAGAAGTAGAGCACGATGCCATACAGAAGGTTGAGACCGTTGGCGAGCGTGAGGAAGGCGAGTGGGAAGTGCACTGTGGCAGGATGGATCGGGTGGCTGTACAGGACACGGCATTAGTATAACGAGCAATGGTTGAGTCGAAGAAGTTCGTAGCCTTGAGAAATAAGAAAACGGACGGGTGGGTAAAACAAACCTGTTGGAGCCGAATCTACCAAGGCCAACCGCCTCGTAGCACTTCTTCGCAATATCCGACATGCTGATGTGAGATTTCTTACGGTTATGGAAGAGGTCGGAATGGCTGTTCGTAATACTGTACTGGAGAAAATTGTGGAAGATGTAAGGTTGGTGCGGAGGGGAGAGGGGGCCTCCGGTGAAGAAATTCAAAGCGTTGGATGGTCAAAACTTTGACGTCACCACAATTAACGTCAACGTTTATTTACTTCTGTCTGAAGTGAGAATATAAGAAATCTGCCCGGTAGAATCTACTTAAATTTCGCATTGTTGCCATAAATCCCATGTCACTGGTCAGCAGACGAAGCTCCAGACATCCTTCAGTCATTGGTGAACGCTAATTGGATATTGGAACCTGGATCTGACCAATACCTTGAAGCATGCCGTGACTTGGTATGACGATTCCATATAAATCATCCTTTTCCCTCCTTTTCTACAGATGAGGACAAGGACCGGGGTCTGCATGTCCCTTGTAGATTGCGCCAATTGAAATGTCAAATTCTTTGATGTCTTGGCTCTTAATGCAGTCTGCTGATAGAAAGCGGGGCTTCGAGGCTTCGATGACACTGTTAGAGTAGTTTATGACGTCATCGCTGTTTCGGCTGAGCAGATTCAAAAATGTATCGTGACTGACACGACAAACCAACATTAGACTCTAAACAGCCTCCCAAACTGGTGCTACAAAAGGTCGGGTAGGTCCTCCGGTACGTATTGACCGTTGTAAATGGAAGCCTGCCACACACAATACAGTACTTCTCCCAGAAAAGGCGGGCGGCCGCCTTTTTTTTCGCTTATGGCCTCCTTTTTCGAGATCCGGACATACCTCCGGCGCTTCGTTAGAAAATATATGGACCTTGGCGGCCCACCAAGAAACCAAATTTGAAACCCCACGCATCCCGCTCCAGAGATGGGAATCCCTCGGTATCCCAAGAGTGGGCATGGCATTTTGCCTTTCGATATCGAGAACCACGCCACTCCATTTGCCACAAGCATGCCCATGCTACTATCCCCCCCATGAACAATTTCGAGTGAGTCCAATATTCGCCACACTCTCATGCCACGATTCACACCACTAAAGGCACGCAATCGAGGGTCTATAGCGAATAGCGGCTCTCGAAAGCACCTGATATTTCCTAATTCGGGGATACTGACGAAGTTTCAGTGTGGCGTTACCAAAGGACCCACTCGTAATTATTCAAGGGGGGGGATAGTAGTACAATACCACCCGAGGCAACCACTCCCTCACCTCGTCCCATCCCGTGATAATTGTCCAGATTTAACTCCTCTTCTACCTTCTTTTTATACTGTACCATCTATTTCTGGCTATCAGTTTGGACTAGAATTCTCTGAGTGTAGTCCTATTCTAGCTGGCGAACAAGTGGCTATGGATGCAGGTACATCAAGGAGACGGCGAGGAATCGGATTTGTTACGCCAAATGCTTGTGTGGAATGCCGAAAGAGGAAGGCTAAGGTATGGTGACCTTCTTAACAGTGATCATACTGACTGTTCTTGCTATCTCCAGTGTGACGGGGAAACGCCGTGTGGGAGATGTGTCTCTCAAAATGTCACAGAATGTAGTTATGATGTGCCTGTTAGACAATCCAAAGAAGAGATGAGGTCAGAGATTCAGCGACTTAGAGAAGATCAAAAGCGCACTAACAGAATACTTGATGCACTGTCTTCGGATAATTCAGTGGACATCCTGGATCGGCTGCGAAACGGAGAGTCGCTTGAAAGCATCTCCAGAACAATGGAAAATTTTGCATCCCCCTCAGCCTCAAATTACTCAGTACATGATCGTCTACAGGACATGGCGGGCTCGACACCATGCTTCACGGTTCCTTCTACTGCATGTCATTCACCCCCAGTCTTCGGCGACTGGCACAAATAGGCACCAACTCAGAGCGGCATCGAGTCAGCTATAGGTTATGGACAGCAGATGCTCTTGGGGGATCAAACAGATTGCCAGGATCTCTTGAGACACCATAGTCCGAGGCATCACAATGAATCTTGGACGGCGGTCACATCTGACGGAGCCTTGGTAGAGCATTTGCTGGCATTATACTTCTGATGGGAGTATCCGATATTCGCGACGGTTAGTAAAGAGCATTTCATGGAAGATTATAGGAAGGGAAACACTAGATATTGCTCTTCATTGCTAGTCAATGCTCTTCTAGCGCTGGCCTGTCGCTTCTCGGATAGACCTAATATTCTACATGACCCCCATGATCGAACAACGGCTGGCGATACTTTCTTCACGGAAGCTCTGAGACTCCTCTACAAAAAAACTGATCGTCATGTATTGACCACGGTTCAAGCCCTGGGGTAATGTCGATTCGCGAAGCTAGCTGTGGCCGCATTAGCGAAAGTAGTTTCCTCTCCGGGCAGTCAATACGGCTGGCTGTCGAGATGGGATTGCATTTAGAAAGCACATATGACGATGTCGATGGTGATGACTCCGAGAAGTCGGTTTATAAAGCAACCTTCTGGGGCGCCTTATCGTTGAACGAGTAAGGCTAATAAACCCCTCTCCAGCTGCCACTTCAGATCTATGGTAACTAACTCGTTGTGTACAGGATGCTTTCACTTTGTACAGGCTCTCTCCCGCAACTTTCCCAGCAAATCAAGCTTCCAGCCAAGCCAGCTATCATACAACGCGTAGAAGAAGCTTTATGGGTTCCTTACACCGACGGCGGTAAGGCGCGATAAGAGAATCATAGTTGGGCACAAGGGAGCTGATATCTCTTTCAAGGAGCACCACTAGATCGACAATTCTCTCAGCCTTCCAATCTCCGAACCGTGTACACAACGTTCTGCGAACTTTCGGAAAGGGTTCATAACGCGCTTTATACTCTGTACACTCCAGGCTCTGAAATCACTAGTGGAGCCTTGGTTGAGTTGTACAATCACTACATCCATTGGTACGATACAATGCCTGAGAGCCTTCGACTTGGGCAAAATTTCACGCCGGCAGTGTTGTTTGCGCAGTAAGTCACCCCCATCAAACTCCTTGGTTAATACTAATTTCAAGTTTCTAGTCTATTTTACCACTCTGCCACGCTCCTGCTCTTCCAACCATTCATCAATTTGAAACTCACCACATTTGGTGTCTTGCCACGAGATGTGTGTAATCAAGCAGCCAATGCAGTCACTGGCATCGTCAAATCTTACGCGAGTCTTTACACGCTGCGACTTACACCGTCATTTGTGCCTTACTTCGTCTTGATCTCTGCTATCATCCATCTAGTCGCAGTCAAAACCGATCCTTCGAACTCTGAAGTGAGAGGGAAACTGCTGCAGGGAATCTCGGATCTAGAAGAAATGGCCAAATGTCATGCGTTTGCTCTGCGAGCCATTGATGCCCTTCGATACCTGGCATACGTCTGGGATGCTGACGTTTCCTTCAGCACTAGCAACCGAGATTTAACAGACTTTTATCGTTTGTCTTCCGCAACACCCGACCAATTCTCCCCTGATACTAGCATCTTGCAGACGCTACAAAGCATACAACCGGTGCTATCTTCAAAGGATCACTTTCTGTTCTCGCCTTTCCCTACCCAAGGACTCCCATCAGTTGCCACCGGTACAAAGCTCGAGCAGGGAGGCTTTACGGTAGTATCGGAGGATTAGAAGAAAAGCTGGGCTTGAAGGCAACTCTCAAGATAGGATCATAGGAAGACTATTTGAGAGGATAATGTTGTTCAATCCACCATGGTTAATAACTTTGATAACTGGCTCGACTCGTGTAGAGTAGACGACTGTTTCATTCCAAAGTATTAGTAATGTTAGATTTCTGTTTTGAAGTCATTATGCCCATATTCGAAAATTAGCGATTCGGTGTTATAAATTTAGCGATATTCATGCTGAAGCCCGCTATCTTCAAGAGCGCTGGTTGCTAAACGCACGAAAACCCCGCGATCACACACCTATATATAAACTTTGATAATAAAAGAAAGGTGAACTGGTCGAGGACCAACCCTGTAATATAATTAGATGGCTTTCTAATACTATATAATAAGTTACACCTCAAATGAAAGTGGGAAGAATGAATGCATGTCTTTCTTTGCTCACGTATCTCAAAAAAAAATGACAAGAAAGTTTGGGCCGAACGAGAAAGGAGTTTGCTCAGTTTTCTCTTCATCTCCTGCCTGGCTGCCACAATATCTCTTTGGATTTTTGCATATATATTAAGAAGACAAAACCTTGATCCTCCACTCACCTCGTGGTTTGATGTCCAATGGACAAGGGTTCGGCGGTACAATCAAATGGACCATAATCCATCCAAGACGACTCAATCTACAACCTATTCTGCTATTAATATTCTTTTGGGCGGTACAGATCCACAGTAGTGAAACAATAATGGTCATGTTCACGGGTTCGCTAAGTCCAACCTAACCACACATTCGCCGTCCCAAACTGAAATCGAAATGATTCCCGACTCCCGGATATCGGATCAAGGGTTCTCTATATGTCGGGTATAACAGCTTTAGTCAACTCTCAGGCTTATAGTTCTCTGTATCAGAATATGAAGCTTCATCTTGATTGATCGCCCTGGATATGGTTAAAGTAGAATAAGAGAACTCAAGAGACCTACTACTCGAGAGCAAAACACAAACTGCCTTTCGCAATATGATGCCCATCCTATATATAATCCTGCTCTAGCATATGAAGAACACCTTATTCAGTTAGGAAGAATTGTAATTACAGAATTATTGAACACTACCAAACGGCACCGGAGCCCGCCACCTTAATACCTTGCTCAGGATCGCTCTCACCACAGGCAGTTTCTGAACATCTCCCGTACTCGGCATTCCCTCCCCACAGACAGCATCGATATCTTCCTGTCCAGGTCTTTACCACTTTAGAAACCACAACATGGTAATACACAACCCCTAAATCGAAGCACTTTCCGGCACACCCTAATCAGCGACAATATTCCCACCATATACGCCTTCTCTTCCTCATCCAACGTCCCATCTTTCAAAAAATCTTTCGCCCACGAGTACTGCTCCTTATCTTCACTAATTTCCCCTCAACCTTGGACCCATTGACCAAGCCAGAAAGTTCGCTCACGCTCAGCCCTTCAATTTTCGTTCACTCGCTATGGCGGAAGGGAACCGGGTATCCAAGCAAGAAATTATTCTAAGAATGAGAGTGTTGAACTAGCTAGCTTAGCTAGCTTTACAGTCCTTTCAGCACCAGGTTCAATCACTAATTTAGTTCGCCACCACCCTCATTAATAATGGTTCACTATGGAAGCTCAGGGAACGCTCACTAAATATATAAGTCATCCAATTTATCGGCTGATTTATAATATACTGGAGGAAATCGCCACCCACTAGTGGGTATATAAGAACTGTACTTTAGATTCCTTCCTCTCCTTTATGTTTTTTACACTCCTGTATCTAGCTATTCTACAGATTGTCAACATCCAATATATCGATCAGTTTCCAATAGAGAGCTTATTCGATTGATTCTGGCGAGATACCTTCAAGTAACTCGTCCGAGCGGGTAATGGTCTCTTTTGCCTTTCCAGGCTCTCATCTCCCCACGCTATTGTCGAAGATATACCAGCACAGCAATCCTCAAGAAGGGGTTGAAACTCCAGTGGAGCTTGAAACAGATCTAATATCAGACGTTTCGTTTGTTCAGCCATCACCTTCGCCGGCTGTTCCCTCAGTTTATTTAAGACAAGTCCGTTGGCGGAGAAACTTCACGCGTTTGTGATCCGCTGCCACGCAACTCCCACGTCAATACGGCCCTTTCTTTCTCTACAAGAAGTTCTTGATACATACCTCACTGGCCATCAAAGGCAAGTATTGAAGTAATGCACATCCTTACCATTATTCCCCCAAATAGCAGGAAAATGCACCCTCGAAGAATAAATCACGTATCGTTTGACCAGCAGTTCTTCTGCAATCTTCGGATGTGAAATCAAGACGACAGTGTCTCCTGCAAGTTGCACCTGGCATGTAGGGCCTAAGGGAGGGTTAAGGTGCCTTAGTGGCCAAGCTATACTGATTTAGGGCTGAACGCGTGTTTAGTAGAACAATCTATGCAACTTTTGCAAATCCCGCAGAATGGAAGCCTCGCGTTGGAACATCTGTTCACGGTTCTCTGCAACAGCGCCCCTCTGTCGCAGGAAGGCTTGGCATCCACCACCCGACCACTAACCGACTTCCAAACAGAAGTAATAAGTTTGAGAAAGGAATTATTCCTAATTAGAATCTTTACAAACTCATCCAAAAATCCATTCCCTCCACTCTCGCATCTGCAAACCCCTACCTCACTCATTAACCTCGCCGGGCCTCGCAAACCTCCAAAAAATCTATTCTCAGCTACCTCTCCCATTCTTCCGCGCCTTGACCCAAGATCAGCATTATTTCAGAACAGCCCCTTCCGGCACTCTTCCCGTTATATTATGCACACTCTTTCTAACCGCGTCCGCCGTCCAGGCCATATTAAACTTATTAGCAAGAGCTACTATCAGGGATTGAAATCAGCCAAAATGCCCAATAACAAAGACACTAGTAAGGGCAATTCACAACAAGATATCGTCATTCTCTGTCTGCTGTCTCACCTCCTTACTTGCTTAAAGGGATGTCGAAGCTGACCAATCGTCATGCAGGTAACTGTGATTCGTCAGGTCAGCTAGATGCTGCAGATAGCCCACACAATCCAGCCTGTCGACCAAATGCACCTCCAGCCCTGTATATTGGCTACTGTCTATAGTCTATCTAAATATTGCTTCGGCCACATTCAGCCTCTCCGGGATTAGCGAATTCAAATCGAGTCCCGAGTTCGGACGTTGTGGCAAGGGTCAACAGGCTTGGCTCTGCACTACATCACGCGATGCTACTTTGGTTTGATTTCTACAAGGTCGTTGGACGCCTCTCAGCTAAAAGTATTCCATAGGCAGCAAGCCAGTTGTCACGCTGGCAAAGCAGATCACGTTCTACGTACACGCCGAACGTTGTGACTTGTTAGTTACAGTGCTGCAATACCCCAACTAATACGGCTCAGTTGGGGAAGCTGCAGGAGAGCCTCGCTGCACTTCCTTACCTACGTCCGACTTCAGTTCCTTCTTTCTCAAATCCTGCTGATTTCCTCCTATCGGATACGAAATGTTGGTCCGCGAACTGCGGTATGCCGGCACCACACTCCCCGAAACCGTTGGACGCACAGCCAAGGCTTCAAAAATGGCACAGCAACATTGCTCACATCCTTTGACTCGTCCACTTCTCCACCATAGCTGCCAGAATGGCTGTCAGACTAGCTCTTGATTGGATAATCGCATCTGCTGAGCTTGATAATCCAATGTGCAACTGCACTTAAAAGGCTGCAAGGCTCTCCTGGCCCGGAGATGCAGAGGCAGCCGAAGTACTGCAGATTGTACAGGAGATGGCTCCAAGCATCCAAAATGCTACAATTCACAGCCTGATCTGATAAGCCATAAGTATGTGCACTAGTCTCCCTGAACACCACATTTGCTTTGCCTCATTTAGAAGGAGTCACTCAAATCTTTTTTCGATGTCAACATCGGATTGTGATTATCGCCCAGTGGTTTCAAATCACTCCGACTACCAGATAAGTCAAACTCGACTTTTTTTTCTCGCTCGTTCCGTTTTAGTGTTTGGACCTGAGCAGCCGCCGCTTTAACCTGAGCCGAGGGTGAGCATCCTTGAGCATGCCTGAACACTGCCTGACATCGGCCTGAGAAACGTGAGCACACGGCAGAGTCAGCCTGAGCATGTACTGAGAACCCATTTTAGCTCCCAAATGGGCTCGTTTAGGCCCCCAGCTCTGGTTTACCACAGCGACCAAAAGGGTTAATACCAGCCCAGTATGAGTACGGAAATTTGTATATCCGGCATTTCTCTAGATAATGTCAGATGCTTATCTATAGAGAATCTGTTACTTTTTATTTATGCGATTATGCCTCGATATCAAGTTCTATTAACCATATTACAATATATATATTTATTTAATAAAATGATATATAAATATATGCCACGTTCTCGCCGCTCTAATAGTAGTGATCAGGATCCTAAAAGCGGTACCAGGCTGAGGCCGCTACTACTTCAATCTCAAGGAGGTTAATATAGAGATAACTATCTTCCTCAATACCTTAATTATAGTTCTATAATTCTATAATAGGGATAAACCTTTAATCTCAGAGGCAGTACTGCGGTTTGGATAAGAGTAAATCGAAATTATATCTATTATATAAACGAGGCTGAAATCTTGGCTTTAGGTAGCGGACTAACTTTAGTTAAATTAATACCTTCCTATTAGTATAATCTCTAAGAGCGGAATAATATTAAATCCTATACTTCAAGGGCTTTCATACTATATATTAAAAATAATAAGCGGCCTATATTTGCGGATATCCAAGATATAGTCTATAGGGCTATTCAAATAACTATAAATGAAATACTATAATAGATTCAGGTTAAATTCTTTATAATTAAGGAAATAAGATTAGTAGATATTAGAGTATATAATTAACTAAGGAATAAGGTAAAGTACTTATAACTCTATAATTATTCGAATATTCTCAGATTATAAGAGATATATATAATTAAATAAAAGTAATAAATTAATACTACTTCCCTAATAATAGAGCTTTAGATATAATTATTACTCTAATAATTTCTTTAGAATATAGTAAATAATAGAAAGAGCTTATTATATCTCTAATATATCCTATAATATCTGGAATTCTAGCCAAATATAATTAAATAATATATTCTTAGAATTAAGTACCTTTACTAGAATAATATTAAATATAAGAACCT